CCCTTTGTACGAACAAAAGTAAGAGAGATTTAGGATAAGAATATGAACATGTTCTTGCATGAGGCCCATTGATTTTATCAACATGTGTGGCTGAACTCCTGTCTGACTCTCAGTTTCTGTCAGTAGTGGAGCTTCCTGGGTCTTCTTTTTGMTTTGYTTGTTTGTTTGCCTACTATCTGTCTGATCAACCTGGGGTTGCATTTCCTCTTGCATCCACCTCCTGCGAGGTTGACCACAGTCCCGCGAACCTTCTACTGTAACAAAGGTGTCAGCTGTGGTCCGAGGATCATCAGACAGATCTGATCTTTGGTTTATCTGCTCCATGTTCAGTGTGGTGAACAGAACCAGAACCAACTGTCCACTGGTTGAGTTTAGGCCACTTTGAAACACGATCATAATGTAAGGATTAATAATCTCCTTAGGAGGACATTACCTTTATCTTTGGGAAATGAACAACAAATAACTTATTGTTTACACAACACACTTAACATGTCTGAACTTTTCAGATAAAACTCTGTAGACTTTCTTATTSAAGCATTAAGTAAAGAAACAATCCTTYCAGCTTCMGYCATGTGCCGAATTCACCCCAACACCGTTCAGACCGACAATAACGTCAGGTTTTTCTTAAAATCCATTCAACACAGTTTAAACACATGAACACAGTTTAAATTAGATACAGTTCGGTTAGCTTCACCTGTCGGCAGGACGTGTTTATTTCCTGTTCACTTTACAAGCTTACCTCAAAATGTTGTCCGCGTATGTCAGCAACAATTTCGCCACATCCCGGAACACATCGTTCGGATTGTCGAATAAAGCAGAAATCGCTGGAGACACAGACATGTCCAAGTTTTACACAGTAAATTCTCGTCGTGTTAAAAGCTGAAGCTAAACGGAGCCGCGGCTGAGTGGAGGCTAACGGTGCGTTTGAGTTATACTCGGAATTCGGAATTTCCCAGTTCTGAGTGTTTTTACTAACACGAAAATTACTGTTCTACAGTGTATGATTGCAGAAAAATAATTATTATTGATTTTTCTATTAGTGATAATTATATACCGATTACATAAAAGATAAAAATGATAAAATCATCGTTTTATTTTTTAAACTGGGAAACTTGTTGGATCGGACGATAAAAGCTATGATTTCCGAGGTAAATGGAACACAGCACATCCAGGGGTCCTTCTAAAATGTGTCCTTTTCACCGCCTGACTGAATGTTCGAAATTAAAAATAATATATTGTGCTGCTTATATACACACTTCTTATTACATTATATATACGTATGGTTATTTACTACGTCATTAAGGTTTATTTAAGCACTGTTAGATGTTTGTTTGTCTTTTTTGGCGACGGTCAAATACGGATGTGGCGTTCACTGASACTACCTAAGCTTAGCTAAAAACAAAAACACGGAAGTCATGGACCAGTCAGTGACTTTTCCATGTTATAGCCAGTTATTGTGATTTCTGCGGAGTCCGATGCCACTTTAAGCATATGACGTTTGGGGAAATGTTCTGTTTACAGTTATTTATCTGCTCTAAATAACAGGTTATTGACCGAGGCTTCAGCTAACTGAGTTAGCATGTCTGCTGCCCTCCTGTCCCGTGTGATGGAGCTCAGGCTGAGATCACGGTGTTTAGGGTCTGCACTTCAGAAAGTCCTGTTTTGTCCCACCCACCAGCCCAGGCAGCAGCTCTGTGGAAGGCAGCCTAAGAGGAGGAGGGTTGTCGTCACTGGGATTGGGTTAGTGAGCCCTCTTGGCACGGGGACTGCTCTGACCTGGGACGGTCTGATCCGAGGCCAGAGTGGGATTGTKGCTCTGGACTCTGAGGAGTACCGGACTGTTCCCTGTAGGGTGGCAGCTCTGGTGCCCAGAGGGACTAACGAGGGGCAGTTTTGTGAGGAAAAGTTTGCCACTCGTGGAGAAATCAACACCATGTCCCCCGCCACCGTCATGGCCCTGGGAGCTGCCCAGTTGGCCCTGGACGACGCGGGGTGGTACCCCCAAACCCCAGAGGATCAGCTGAACACGGGGGTGGCTGTAGGCATGGGTATGGTGTCCTTAGAGGAGATCGCTAGCACCTCTGCCGCCTTCCGGGACCGGGGCTACAACAGAGTCAGCCCCTTCTTTGTCCCCCGCATCCTGGTCAACATGGCCGCCGGCCACATCAGCATCAGACACAAACTGAAGGGCCCCAACCATGCTGTGTCCACCGCGTGCACCACCGGCGCGCACGCCATCGGGGACGCAGCCAGGTTCATCGCTCACGGGGATGCGATTGCGATGGTTGCCGGAGGGACCGAATCGTGCGTGGGGCCGCTCTCCATCGCCGGCTTCGCCAGGGCGCGCGCCCTCGCCACCAAATGGAACGACAGCCCGAGGCTGGCGTCCAGACCCTTCCACCCAGAGAGGGGGGGCTTCGTGATGGGGGAGGGAGCGGCCGTGCTGCTGCTGGAGGAGCTGGAGCACGCGCTGAGGAGACGAGCCCGCGTCTACGCAGAGGTGCTGGGCTACGGGCTGTCAGGGGACGCCAGCCACATCACTGCGCCCACCGCAGACGGAGACGGGCCTCTCAGGTCTCACACGATCAACTTAAAGGCCTAGCTTTTRTGGAAAGAATGCATATCGCCTTCTGCTTCTTATGACAGGTTTAAAAATGCTTTCATGATGAGAAACACGGAGCTCCAGCTGCTTTGGTCAAACCTTCATAATAAGGCATGACGTCATGCAAGCTGTCACACTCAACGAGTTGTGAAGGACTCAGCTACTACCACATCAAATTGAGCTACACATAGTTTGTGTTGGCTGAGGTCAGTTAGCTATGGCAGCCATCTTGGTTTGGGTTGACTCCAAAGATTAATCTGGTGCAGATGTACAACACTACGGAAGCAGAGAGGGGACATTTTCCGCAAATAATTTTTTACCATGGTTTTCTTGTGATAACGAAACATCAGTGACCAACTGATGCGGTATGCTTCACTATCCATGCTAGTTGCTAGCTTCTCCAAAGCTAACACCAGCTTATCCATACTAGTCGCTAGCCTCTCCAATGTTAAAGCCAGCTTATCCATGCTAGTCATTAGCCTCTTCAATGCTAACGCCAGTTTATCCATGCTAGTCGCTAGCCTCTCCAATGCTAATGCCAGCTTATCCATGCTAGTCGCTAGCCTCTCCAAAGCTAACACCAGCTTATCCATGCTAGTTGCTAGCATCTCCAATGCTAATGCCAGCTTATCCATGCTAGTCGCTAGCCTCTCCAAAGCTAACACCAGCTTATCAATGCTGGTCATTAGCCTCTCCAATGTTAAAGCCATCTTATCCATGCTAGTCGCTAGCCTCTCCAATGCTAACACCAGCTTATCCATTCTTGTCACTAGCCTCTCCAATGTTAAAGCCAGCTTATCCATGCTAGTCATTAGCCTCTTCAATGCTAACGCCAGTTTATCCATGCTAGTTGCTAGCCTCTCCAATTTTAAAGCCAGCTTATCCATTCTAGTTACTTGCCTCTCCAATGCTAATGCCAGCTTATACATGGTAGTCGCTAGCCTCTCCAATGCTAACACCAGCTTATCCATTCTTGTC